TGTAGCGTTGTATGGGGTTGTTGTGACCCCCATGCAGGACCTGGCCCTTGGCCTTGTTGAAACTCATACAGTTGGCCTCAGCCCATCAATCCAGCCTGTCCAGGTCCCTCTGTAGGGCCCTCCTAGCCTCAAGAAGATCAACATTCCCACCCAACTCAGTGTCATCTGCAAACTGACTGAGGGCACACTCGATCCCCTCGTCCAGATCACTGATAAAGATATTAAACAGAACTGGCCCCAATACCAAACCCTGAGGAACACCACTGGTGACCAGCTGCCAACTGGATTTAATTCCATTCACGACCACTCTTTGGGCCTGGCCATCCAGACAGTTTTTTACTCAGCAAAGAGTACACCCATTCAGGCCATGAGCAGCCAGTTTCTCCAGGAGAATGCTGTGGGAAATGGTGTGAAAGGCTTTACTAAAGTCTAGGTAGACAACATCCACAGTCGTTGCCTCATCCACAAGGTGGGTCACCTTGCCATAGAAGGAGATCAGGTTAATCAAGCATTTAAGTCTTACCTAAACCAGAAGGAGGCATGAAAACATGTATGTTTCTTACAGCACAGACTGGAAGAGACTGAAAGTGTCTAAAGGTAGACTGCCCTGTTTCCCAGATGAAAATTTCAGAAGAATTTCCAGATTCTACAAAGAAGCAAAATGACAAAACTTACATTATCTTGCTGCCTGTTAGTTAAATCGCACACTGGTGGCCATTCAAAAGGCAGTTTGGCAGCTTTAATTACAAAGTGAGACCAATGATTATATTTTCCTTTTTACTTGCTGCATAACTTCATAGTATGACTGATCTCCATGGGATGATTCATCCACTGACATAATTTAAGGGCTTTTCTGCACACATTCACATAAAAGAACACTAAGACTGTCAGTAGACAACAGCCAACTGCAAAGAAACCTATGGACTGCAACATAAACTTTTCAATAGGCATAGGGATGCAGTCATAAAACAATGCCTAAAATGTCATACTTGCAATAAAAAATACATATACTTTGCTGATCAATGATCTTCGCATATCACAAAGCTCAGAAAACCTTAGAAAAGGTGCAATCTGCAGCTAGATGAATAAACTTTTTATTTCCCATTGTTCTTGGGAAAATATTTCATTAGTTTCACAAGTATTTGAGAATAAACACAATACTTGTATTTTCTGAGGGACATAATAGGGATTATTTTGATAAAACGCTTATCAGTGAATTGTCACTCCCCAGTAATACTTTATCTAAACTCCTTTACCCCAAATACCTTTGCTACCAAACAAGCCAGCACATACTTAGCAAACTCAGTGTTTTCCTTCTGCTAAGTACCTTTTGCAATAATTAAATAGATATCAGATCCAGAAATCCAGGCATCCATATGTTTTATCTCTTTTGCTGGTAATTGATGAAGATTCCTAAATTCATTATTCAACCATTGGTACAAGAGCATGTTCTGGCTGGTATTTGACAAAGAAACTAACAGGTACATAATGCCTCCTCTGGGAAACAAGGCTATGTTCAGAGCTCTGTAAAGTGGAAGTTGATGATGCAGCACAAATATATCTTTATTCCACTGGAAAACCTGTGGGAATACAAAATATTTTTTCATTATATATTCATAATTAGCACTAAGGAAGATAAATTAACTGTCATGATGAAAAACTGGGAAGACTTATACTGAACTGAATTACTTATTTCTAAGGTGTACCCTACATTAAAGTAGAAGCATACTGGTAAGTAACTACCTTACTGCAAGCAGCTGTGGCTTTTCTTCAGATGAATAGGTTTATGGTCAGAAGCTATTTCTGTTCTTATAGGTGTTTAACATGTTAAATTTCTAAAGAGAAGCAACAGTAGCAATAAAATCAAACCAAGTGTAAATTATATGTTAATGTAGAGAGTATTGCTACATTTAAACAAGGTTAGAATTTTAAGCCTTATAAATCCATAATACCAATGTAAGTAATTTTTCAGAAATATATACTTATAGGTTTTTTTATTATCCCTTCATATTTCAAACTCAAAGCTAACCAAACTACCCACTTCAAAGCCAGGGAAGACAAGTATATTCTAACCTGGATGGAACTGGAACTGGTTGTGTCACTCACAAAAATCAAATAGTCATCTTCATCCACAGCAAAGTGTTTCACATGTCTGGTATCCAGGATAGAGAGAGTCTGTATCTGTGAGGGAAATATGACAAAAATGCTGTTTGGAAGTCACTTCAAGTGACAAGCTTATATACATACAAAATTTGCAAAATTACATATAAAACTATATAAAAAATCTATAAAATTAGTTATATGTAATTTTACAATTTGAAAAATGTGTCTATATATGTGGGGTTAATTTACAAAATTAATATAACTTATCACACATTTTTCAGAAAATGTTCTATGACTTGATTACTCCACAATTTCTTTCCTCAATTCCCAGGTCATTTTCCCCCACCCCCAAAATATAAATATAAAACCACAGTAGACAACCAGCTGTAAAAACTTACATCATTGAAGTCATGCAGAGTGTTAGGGCCCCAAGCTAGCTAGGCACAGCGTGCTTTTTTCTAAAACATGGCTGGACAGGAGGACCTCCTGAGGTCTTCTCTAACCCCATTATTTTATGATTTTGTAAGTAAAACAGATTTACCTTCAACAGTCTGCGTCCAGGCATGAATGCATACACACTGTTGTTGGAAGCTCCCTGCCTGGCTCCTCCATGAGTAATCACAAGGTACGGAGAGGCACGGATTTGGAAAGACACACAGCTCTTAGGATTCCACATACTGAAATTCTGAAAGAGGAATAAAAAAGTAAAATCGAGATTTAAATTCTTTCTTAAGTAGCATGCTTGGTGTTTGCAAGCAAACAATTACCTCAACAGGAACAAAAACTCCTTTCCACTGGTAGACAGTAGAAAACGTAGCTGGAGGCGTACGCAACAGAACACCATAGAGGATTTCTCCCGATGTAAAGAAACACCAGCTAGACGCTGACTCTTCCACAAAACTTTGCAAGACAGACAGGACACTGATACTACCTCCTGCAATATAGTAAAAGAAAATACTGTTTATTCTTGAGGTCTTTTTCAACACCATTTTCATTATTTACTTGCCAAAACCAGACCTAGTATCGCAAATGTTGAAGTTGTCTCTAAATAATTGGTACAAGTGTTTGTAAATGCATGGAAATGTTACTGTTCTGAGGACACAATAAGAGTTAGAAAATAAATGTATTCTTTATATATTACAATTGGAAGATGCATAGGCAATTTGAGTCTAATTCAGAATGATTCAGTTTGGAATTTAGCTAGTGAGAAAATTAGCTTGATAGCAACTAGTGAAAAAAGTGACAAAGAAACTACAAAATGTGTGTGTTTGTCCTCCTCCCCCTCATCAAAACAAGCAGTCATGCCACTAAGATTCTTATACTGCCTAAGCCATTCAATTGGCTTACAGAAAAAAGCACTCTGTTGTCAGAATTAAACTCCAAGAGGTAAACTCCCAATCGCACACATAGGTTAGATGAGCTGCTGAGCCAGACAGGGTATTCATCCATGTTCAAAATCAGGCATTTCCTTTTTTGCCTTGTTAGTTTCAGTCTGGATCAGTGAGCAGCTATATACATATCAGTACCGGAACAAAAAACTCTTAGCCTGGAAATGGGAACAAGCAGGACAGATGGAACGATAGCTTCCTTTAATGGCAGGCCTAACTTGGACCAGATTGAAGTGTTCACAAAATTACAGCCTGACAATCCCACAAATGCATTTCAGCAGGTACACTGGGAGATATGACAGAAAAAGTGCAGTGGTATTTTTTCAGACTAATGTTTATGTGAAGTGTGTCTGTTATACTACAGTAGAAAAATCCAAAGTTATAACTAGTAAAGAACAGGTTGTATTAAACAAAAATCTAGTGACAATAATGTTCATATAAGCAGCAAGTAGAGCAATACAGATTACTGAAATGCTGGCAGAAATGGCTGATGACAGGGTGACTCTTAAGCAGCTAAGCTCTTTTATCTCATGAATTTTGACATGCTCAGAAAAATATTAATTAATGTGATCAAGCCTGAATACATGAATTTACATTCCAAAGTTACACCTCCTGTAAGTTTGGCTAGTCTCTTGCTATCTCCCCTCTGACAAAAGCAGCGGACACTCTGGATAAAATGAACGTACTGATGCCAAATGCAGTATCCGACAATGTCTCCCACTCAACACTCACAGACACGTTGAGCCCATTACTCCGTGAAACTTTCAAATAAACTGTAGTGTTGGCTTCTTCAGTTATGAGGAAATTTGTCCTAAATGTGAGAATTGTGAAAATAAAGAAAAAACTTATTATTTTTATAGTATACGAAGAAGATTCTTACAGTACAATTCCAGTGCAGAACATACAACAGAAATAAAAAGAAAATATTACTAACTGGTTTTGCTGTCTGACGGACTGATAACTACATTAATTAAGGTTGTTCAATGTTTCTTACTTTTTACCTTGGCAAAATCCTAGGAAATTCAACAAAACCTTAAGTCAGCCTGAAATTTAACATACCAGCTGTACGATTTAAACTGAATGATTTTTGAAAATGTCATTCCATATGGTTGAGATTCGCTTCTGAAAAACAGCCCTGAGTGATGATGTATCTCACACAAGCTTAAAAACAGAAATAAATTGTAAAATGTATGACTCTCTGGGCACTGATCAGAGGTTTGGAGCTCTTAACACAGATCACTATTAGTGCAATGTTCAAGGACTAATGAAGTACTGGTTTATGAAAAAATCCATAGAGAAATTGACATTTCTAATGATCAATAGTCCAATTCAAGTGTTTTTCTGTTCTTTTGTATAGCAGTAATAGTATTTGACATATAGTGTACTTTTCAAAATTACATTACAATTGGATTGTTGAATTTCTTTAAAGGGATTAATCAAAAACAAAATTGTAGAGAGATACCTTCTCTATTGAATATGAAAAATCTCTTTTTAACTGAATCAGTGTTTAGTACCTGTTTGTAACGGGATAGATGCTGAAAAGCCCTAGGGGAGCCTGGTTCTGTAATACAGTAATCATAGTTTGCACTCTTGTGCCCAGTCTGGCTCCTCCAGTTGGATTGAACAGGGTGACAACAAAGTGCTCATCCATTTCTGGTTCTTCATCCAGTATTGCAGAAATATGCAGTGTCTGACAAGAAAACAAGCATGGAAAGTTGCTGAGACTTGATGGCTAATGATGACACAACCCTATCAGACCATGCTGCTCTTTCTGCTCTTTCACTCTACACCTTTGGATAGTACAGCAGGAGAATAGCAGCTCTTGAAACTGGGGAGGACAGGAGGCAAAGATGGTGCAGGCTGAGTTCTAAAGTCACCTGTCTGGTGACCTCCATTGGTGCAACACTCAGATGAGCATATCCACTTTTTTTTTTCCTTCTCCTTTCTCTTCCTCTCATCCTAAGACCCTCTGAAATGTAATAGTTTTTGATCTTTTTTTCATAGTTCAATTCTCTATTTATTCCACGCATTCCTTGGTAATTCATAGTCCCTATTCAGCTACCTAATCCCCTAAAGCAGCTCGATCAAGTTGGTTTTAATTTACTGTAGTTGGCAACTAAACTAGCTCCAGGGCAACAGGGTAACTCCACTATTGGTACTGGAAAGAAAGAAGGACAAAAGGCAAGAATAGAGGGATATTTGAAATACTTTCTCTCTTCTTGATGCTTCTTTCCCTCTGCTGCACCACTGTGGATGAGAACAGGATCCACTCAAGGTGGTCTCAAATTAGCAGAGAACTATCTAGAAAGAGGTAGGTGTTTCTACTGTCATTTGGAGCTTGTCGTCATCCCTCCCACTACATAAACAGGCAAAATTTACAGAGGTACACATAGCTTTGCTATAGGAAAAAAAAAAAAAAAAAAGGGTAAGGATGGATCTGGAACTAAACTGGAGCTTACAACCTTCTAGATCCCTGTTTATTTCTGCAATAAACCATATTTAGATAATGTCTTAAGAAGTAGTCTTTGACTTCGCACAAATATGCTACATTGGCCAGAACTGTGGCGTCAAATGCATTTAAACTGAAAACCTGTGTTTCTAGAAAGGTTTGTTTCAGATTCTATCCCACTAGCCATAATATACCAACCTGTTACTGACCCTAGCTTCACTAACAAAATAAAATAAAATCAAATAAAAAAGAAACAAACTGCCATTAAACTTCACAAACTTATCTTAGCTCATTTTTTAGCTGACATTCTTGTGGGGACAGTATAGAGGCAGTGAGTTTAACACTCCCAGAAAAATAAGTCATTTTCTATTCCTAAGACTCTGAGAGTTGTTCACTTTTTGCATTTGTTGCAGCATACTCTGTTTGGTTCAGACCAGCTGAAGTGTCACCTTACAGCACGGGATTTTTACTTCAACCATAACTATTTACACTTGTAAATTATCACTTCATTTCGAAGTTTGTGTTTCAGCTACATGCTGAATACGTACACAGAAAAGTTCCTGTGCATACATAAACATTATACATCCATTATATTGCTTTCAATTTACCTCAACTATTACAAAGACAGAAACATCTACAGAAGAGCACATTTAATTTTTATCCACTCCCACTCCCATGACTCAATTTGCTCTGAGAATGAAGGAAAACATAAGAAAAAAATAAATACAAGAAAAAACACAGACATTTCTGAAATATTTCCTACAATTTCAGAAAAGCTTTCTTCACTTCTTTGTAATAACTATCATATTACCTTGAATCTGACTCCCTCTTCCAGCACAATATATCCTTGAGAAGGGGTCAAATCCACTGATGCCTCTGAAGAATTAATTTCACTTACAAGATATTGAACAGTCACAGTGCCAAATATCCCCTGAGGAGGTTCTCTAATAATATTTAATACTGCAACACTTTCCATCAAATGGAGAGCTGTTTGCTCTCTTAGGAAGAAGTGATCGCTGTTATTGAATGACAGAACTCCATGGCCATCATCATTGGCAAGTATAGTAATTGTGGCTTTTGAGAAATAAATAATGGAAATATTCTTTAATTAACATAGCAAAATATAACTGTACATATATACAAATAAAATACATATAAATACAAATCCATTCTTCCTTTAGTGTACATATAATGCTTTCACGTCCATGATATTACTTGAAAAGAAGATGTATTTTACTTTATCTAGGAAGATTTCTACACAGGAAGAATCTAGACTCTCTTATTAAAAAGCTCACTTTTACACTTTTTGATTCCTTATTTTACCTATTATCTTGTTAATTGCACAGATTTCATAGGGATGTTTAAGAACTTTCCAAAGGAGTATAAAGATCTAACACAGCAGGGCAAGAGTGTATTCTGAAATATGACTATTCAAAAGAACGAAATTAAAATGACTGCTATAAAATTCCAAAGAATAAGAACATCAAAGCTAAGTTTTACCTGTTGTGTTCTCCCCTAATTCCAGCCCCAGAGAGGGATTTGTCAAAATTAACTGGAACTTCTCATCACCTTCAGGAATATCATCATCAAAAATTGTAACAACAACAGATTTATTCCTTTCTCCATCAGCAAAAAAAAGAGTCTAGCATTGAAACACAGAAAGCATTGAATACTTAACAGCTGTTAATATACATAGAATTTTTCAACTAAGGTAAACAGGATTGTCTTAAATAGGAAGGAAGAGTAGGCAAGAAGAGCTATAATCTTATAAACTGAAACAGAAGTAAAAAAGTTCACCACATTACAGAATGAGGACAAGCAAGAGCAATTTACTTGGAAAGTTCTGTTGTAAAAGAATATGAAACCTTATACGAAATCTTATCTGCTCTTGTCTAAGCAAAATCGTATTTGAGACAGATGTTTGAAAGTTTACAATGCATCTTACTTTTAAAAATACTTTAGTATTTAAAAAGAAACAGTAAAATAAGATGACTAATTTTATCTCACTGTATTCAGACATCCAAAGCAATTTAAACAAGCTGAAAAATCTAGCTACAATACTGATCATTCTGCAGAATAAACCAGAAGACATTCTTTTGAGGAAGCTGCAGGAATGATTTAGAATTTGCTTCTTACCCTTGAGGTCACATTAAAATCCAAACCCAGCTGTGCCTCCAAATTTTGGGCATAAAAAAACACAGACACATTGCCATATGATCCTCTGCTTCGGTATGCTGTTATTGTCAGATTCCCATGAGATTCATTAACTTCAAAACTAAAACAAAAAGCAAGAAAAATTCTCAGAGCTTACTGAGCAGGTTCATCTGAATAAGATGGTAGGTAGTTGTTATGTTTTCACTTCAAATCATTCCCTCTGCTTTATAAGAAAAGGCATAATTACAGTATCAGCATAATTACAATTGTCTAGCACAACCTGTTTCCCTCTGTTTTTTATCTAAATGGAACTGAGATATAAGAGGTTGTGCCTTTTTTCCAGTTTATTAGTGGCAGATTAAGCCTATGTTCATGGATGCCTCTTCTTAGCTCCTGGAAATTAGTGAGAGAAAAAGATCTGAGAGATGTCAGTGTGTACACTTACATGGATGCAGAGGCTGGAACACTGGATGGAGGCTGGGGGAGTGATGCAAGTTCACAACATGAAAGTACAGCAGTGAAAGTAAGTACAAGGCAGCAAAAGATTTCTGAGTAAACGTACTGTAGATGTCGGGTTTCAGTGTGGGAATCATCTTACACTTCCCAGTTTTACTGAATTCAATGATGCTTTGCCATCTCAAAGATTTGGCCCTATTTTTAACAGGAGTTGTACTGTTAACTGAAAATGAAAATAATTGGGCAACCTCAATCACTAACCGACACAGTCAGTTCTTCAAGGAGACAAGACTTACTTGGTACTTTCCCATTCAATAACTCCGCTTACTCCATCATTAGCATCAATAATAATTTGAGAAGCTAAACCTTCCACATCTAAAATGAAAAGAGGACAAAAATGAAAGAAGAATGAAGTTCATTTTCATGATTTTGAAGAATAATAGAAGCATGTTGCAAATCTCTACTAATTTTGTAGAACTACATAATTTTCTGTTTCCAAAATGTGGAGGAGAAAATGCTAGTGGGCAAGAAAATTGGAAAGGTTCACAGAAAATCTGTCCTTACCACCTTACTATTAGAACTGCAACACAGTGGCTTGAATTACCACTGTTACATTTAATAACGCAGACAAAAAAGACTAAAGAAAATTTAGAAAGTAAAACACAGCACAGAAAAATTAGGAAATTTCAAAAGCAAGATTTGTCAGGGAATCTTAATGTATCTTCATCGTGTGTGTTTATTATGATGACATTCAACATTTTGCAGACAGTGACATTCTGAACATGGGAGGGAAAATGAGTAAGAAAGAATAATAAATGATCGAGTAGTTCATCTCCTTTTCATGTTTCAGTGCCTGATCATAAACCTCACTGGCACACACCGCAGATTCTGCTATAAATACAGAATTATTAATTTCGTTGTAGGTTCTTTATATACTGTAACATTCTATTGCTCTATAAAGATCTATGTATCTTCACAGTAACTCGGAAATATTATTGTACGTATTGCACTGTGAAAATAGTGAATAACACATTAATGCCAGAAATGTCCACTAATTTCAGGGACCAGAACTTGACAGTCAGAACTTGATTCTTCTGAAAAAATAGTGCCTTAATTTGTTCAGACAACAGCACCACCTGACTACCTTAATTTACTTCAACTTACTTTTAATAAGACTTAAAAAGAAATGAAGAAAAGAATTTCTACAACCAAACTCCACAGAATCTGTAGTAAATGTACTATATTTACATCCATAGGAAAGATTTCTATCAATTCAGGTAAAACTGAATAGAAGTAAAAGGTCATTGCCATGAATCCAAACCTGTGACTACAAGGTAGCAATGAAGATCAGCAGTAGCTGCAAAACCTCTACACAAACAGCAGAACTGTTATTGTGGCTTAGAAATCCAGAGGGAATGCTAGCAATTACAGACCTTTCAGCTTCACTCCTAACCTGCATTTTCCCTTGTTGTCTCATAGTCAGATCAGTTCACCCAGGATCTGTAATACTTTGCGTTCAACATCAGACCTCTTATTTCATGTCTGGCGTCCCTCCCCTCCCCTGATGATCCCTTGTCCCCTCCTCCAGATTAGCTGTTTCTTGTATCCATTAAGTTTATTCCTTTTTCTTTCATCATTCTCAGGTCTTGATCATTTTCCCTTTTTTTAATTCCTTGCACTTTTGTATTTGAGTCAGGGTCTTTCCTCCACCTTTTCTGGAAGATGGGAGCAAGAGGAGCATGGAGAAAACAACAAAACTGTTTTTATGCTTGCTGTTTCTGCTCCTTATCAGTGAAGCCTCAGATCAGAAATAAAGGTCACTTAAGTTCAGTGTGTTCAACTCTACATCACAGACATACCAGACTTAATCCATATATTGCACACACATGGCCATGACAAGAACAGCACATGCAATATATTCCAGATGTGGAGGATTGATTGCACGTGCCTGTACCATGTGCAGAACACCCATCTCTTTTGATACTAGTCATCTCCTAGAAATACTTCAAATACCTTGTATAGGGTATGAGATTGCTAGAAATCCTGGACAAATGCATTGTATCAACAAAGTGCTAAATCGTCAGTCATAACAAATCAAAATATACCAACAGGGAAAACAAGATGAGAAAATAGTCTGATAACAGAATTCATAGTGACATTTTACAAGGATAAGTTTTTGCCTCATGAGTTAAAACTATTATCTGTTCATCTTAAGCACATTTAACCCAATGCAGATATCACAGCAGGGTTGAATGGTCATGATTCAAAGAGACTGCCAATCCCTTACAGCAGAAAGTGAGACCACACAGCATTTAGCACAATTTAGTTCAGAAAAATCCTTTGTACTTTTATGTTAGATAGATTTTAGACTCAACTAATCACAACTCACTCTCTACAAACCAGTAACGAGTCTCGCAAGTTACCTTTCAATCTGTAACGAATTAACTCTGTCCCTTCTATAGGCATGCAAAGAAAAGGGAAAAGAGTCGAAGAAGGTGTTAGAAATAATCAGTGCAACTAGTCTCTAGTACCACAGGATAATCCAACTGTCCTTAAAGCCAATGGCAGCTATGCAACTGAATTCAGAAGCAGAATGAGGAGTTGACTAAGCAAATGATAAATGAAGTTCACTGGAAGAGCAAGAAAACCACAGGACATGACTCCTAAAAGTAAAGTTGACAAAAAGTAATAAAAAAAGACTTTTAAAAGAGTGAACTAAGTAATCACATAAAGTAATTTTTTTTTTACTTTTTTGTTTCTATTATGTACTTGGAAATGAAAATCAGATCAACACACTGCCATTAAAACTTTTCAGATAATAGTGCTCTCCAACCGTTAATTACTAACTCCTCTATGAAAATTCCCTTATAGTTTTTAGAGAGCTTAAAAAAGTAAGAAGCAAGTGTAATAGTGAATATGTTTGCTACTCTACAATGTTTCTTTCAGAATACCCTGTCTCAGATTGGCATAGTTGGCAAGTATGTGGGATAATGATAATACGCCAGGGTAACATAATCTGCATGCAATTCATATCAAAGAAAAATCAAAGACAATTCTGTATAGATTGCTTTACCCAGCCTAGGTGGGGATGAAGTTGAATGGTTCATGATGAGTTCCACTGAAGTTAAATTAACCAAGAAGAATTCTTGCACCTCTGGTACATCATCCTGCAAAACACAAATTCAGTACATCCTCTTTTCATTTTCCTTCAAGAAACTGTTACAGAAGTCACCAAAAAGCAACACACTAGAAGTCTCTAATATTATAGCAACACTAGAATTAATTTATTTTTACATTTTCCTGAAATACTTTTATTGGGTGCAAAATTGATTATCTTGAATTAATTATAAAGTAAGACATTATATTTCATGAAAAAGACTCTGTGGTGACACTAGACTATTCTTGTGAAAAAATTTCTGCTCAATTTTAAGGGCATAAACCCCAAACACTGAGAAAATAAGAGCCTGTAGCAAGCAATGAATTACACTGTTCTGAATATCAGATAGTAAAGTCTTAGTGACACAGCTAGATTTCATTTATGCATAAGCAGAGCTGCTTTCTGTTATTTGTCCTTCTGTGATTTTAACATTAGATAAAAACCATCTTTCTAAATGACAATGAAACATATTGCTTCAAGTCATATATAGGTTGCAAGCTTTAGGTTCCAAAACATTCCTTTTCTGACGTCATACAGATCAGTATAGAATGAAAGGGTTTAGAGTTTACCTCTAGAATAGTAATATTTATGGCAGCTGATGTTTCTCCTTCTTCTAAAATCAGTGAGCCAGAAACAGCTACATAATCAGCTCCTGGTTCAGCCAGCATCCCTTCTGTCTCATTACTTGAGGTGAGCAATCCTGGAACTGTCGCATACGTAACATTGATAGCACCTGTTTAATTTGGGGGGAAAGAAAAAAAAAGTATTTTTTTCGATTCTTACATAATGCTCATTGGAATAGACAAAGAAAAGAGATCAAATGATCACCCACAAAGTAAAAATCCTACCTGCAAAATAGAATGATTAAAAGATTAATCAGGAGCCAATGGAACCCTGTATTGTTTTTAATATGCTTTCAGTCCAACCTCTGGCAATTTGCCCAACATCACAGGACCCAAAAAGCCGCAGGATCAAACGTATTCAGATATTTGAGGTGCTGTGGACCACAACTATTACACTGCTGAAGAACTACCTGGGATACCTAAGGTATTATTAATATCAGGTTTGGTGCCAAGGGAAGCAGAATATTTCAGGAACGACTGATATCTGAGAAAGGCTCTAAAGACAGTGCTGGGAAATACAGCTTATTAAATCTAGATTCCTTCCCAGGCAGACTGACATAGACTTCAGTAAAGAATAAAACTTAGGGGACATACTGATAAATGTTATCAAGGGAAAAAGCTAGACATAATTTTGTTATAATGAAGCCATGTCTCACTAATCTGCCAGGGTAAGTCAAGTTGCAAATTTAAAGACAGTGATCCTAGAGGTAAAATGGCAGATGAAATTCAAAGCTAGTCTGTATGAAATATAATATAAGGTATAAAAGAATCCTAGTTTTAATAAATAATGATGGACTTTAATTTAAGTAAGAGACTTTACATTTAGTATGGATACTTATCTTAAAGTATTGGTTTCCTCAGTACTGTTCCAAAAGTAAATTAGATACTGATTGATATTAAAAAAGAAATACGAAAACATAGAAGTGTAATTAAAATGCCTCTACAAATCTGTGGTGTGCCCAGATCTTGAGTATTCTTTGTAACTGGTTACTTCACTCCAAAACAGATACAGCAAAAGAAACTAAGAGGGATTATCACTGAGATCTCAATATAGTCTAAAAGGCAAATCGGAAACGATTACATGTGTTATCTCACAATGAAGTCATGAGATGGGCAACAAACACAAGAAAATATTTTTGTACACAGCACATTATTGAATTCTGGAATTAAGTACCACTTAATTTTATGGATGTTAAAAGGCAAATTGATTTTAAATGGAATAAGAGGTTCTCAGAGGAGATATAAACTGAATTCAGTGGTCTGAATGCAACTTTTTCCACAAGACATTCCTAAGCTGCCAATTTCTGGAAGTTTAGAGGGGAAATATGTGGGAACGATCATTCCACACAAGCTCCTTTTCTCATGTTTTTTATTTCTTCTGGAGAGACTAACACTTTGAGACAGATTCATTAGACATAAAGGTAGCAACTCTAACAGCCGACTAGTTATGTCACAGCTCCCAGATTCCTTGCTGTGGAAGTGAGGGCTATGGCTCCAGTTTTAACTAAAATTTAGTTTCCAGGCCTGCAGTAACAAGCCTAGAAGTTCTGAAATATAAACTATACCCAAGATTTTTAAAAATTTCCAGTCTCCTTGTCACAGCTGTCATTTGCCTAATGATTACCAAAAGAGAACTTCCTTTCTCTTGGAGTTGTTATACAAACCTAGAGATCCGAATTCTCTGTTAATAAAAAGCTGAACCGTTTTGTTTTCCTCTGGCATTAAAACTACCCTCGATGGGGAAGCAAAATTCAAGACTCCATGTGGTTCATCACTAGCTTCTACGGTCAGAACAGCTTCATAACCTTGACTATCCAAAACAGCAGCACCTGAAGAAGAAACTCCTGCAAAAGAATCAATGGACTACAGTGAATAAAGTGTTACGCAACTGATTTGTCTTATATTACTGCTGTTATTACATCCAAATGATGATATTAGAGTGCAAATGAAATTAAACCAAATGCATAATGTGCTCACCAGAGTTTGTGTATGGTGTGGAATGTATATATATTTACATTCTGTAACAAATATAGGAGCATACAATCACAACAGAAATTGTATGCATACCAAATATAGATTGACAAAAAAGTATTAAAAATGAAAAAACTTAATGGGCCAGTGCCAACTTCCCTAC